CCGCGCACGCGGAAAACCATGCCCAAATGCCAGGCACCTTTCGCGGGTCCTCCTCTTGCCGCGTCTCCTCACGTAGGAAGCTGCACTTCTCCTGCGCGCGTCGCTGCCACGCTGTCTTTACGGAAACGTTTCAGAGGCTCGATGGAAAAAACCCAAGATGTCCTAGACAGATGGGGTTCCACATAAACATACATAAACCACCGAACTTGGGGACTGTGCCATCTACTCACTCTGAAACCACTGTAAACCACTTGTGGCATCAGCTCCGCTTCACCAGGATCTTCCGCTGCAAAACACCCCGCGGATCCTCTGGGGTGTCGGGATCGGTGGTTGCTCAGGGCCTTCAATTGACCTCATTCCGGCATCACATACCGCCCAGATGTGAACCTATAGAGAAGCAACACACAGAAAAAATTGTAGGCTCCTGGATGAAACATCGTTGTTCTTTTCCAAGGGAAGAGATGGAAAACAGTGTCTTTTCTCGAAAAACATGGTCTATTGGTTAAACCAATGAAGAACAGGCCCTGGCCACCACAAAGAAACACCTATCTCCCGGGTCTTCCTTTCAGGTGCGTGCCGTTGGATCTGAATCGATCCACCAGTCACTAAATATCGACCATTCTTCCGATTCTTCCATTTGTTTTGGTCATGAGTCATTTACATAGACCTTTGGGGAATTTGGGTGACTTGACAGAACACATAAGACACCAAATGTTATCCCGCAGTGAGTCCGTATTTACTAACCCATACGGGCCCATACGGGACCTATACGCTGTCGATGTTACCCAAAAGGCATCGTGTTTTGACTGAGAGCCCATATGTGTTTTTTTTGCATCCCTGCCATGCATATTCAATTTGTGAGTTCTTAGGCTCACAGCTGCATGTTGAAGGCTCACTGTCCATTCGGCTGAAACCTGTTTTTCGCGAGGTCGACATTTGGTGACTCGTGTCCAAAACTCAGGTGCGTGCCGTCAGATCCAAAACAATCCCAAACACACAATGTTTGAAAGAATGGTCCTTTCCAAAAAACAATGTGTGTTTCCCTATAGGCCCTATACTATTTATATGACTATTTGTAATGACCTACCTGAAAAATATGGTAAATTAGATTATAACTATGGTTTTTCATCTCTCTCCCCATCCGTGAAAAATACTTCTCGCCAGCCATGATGTCCTCACCTCAGACTGGGGGGACTCACCTCAGACTCGACGCCTGGGCGGTGTTGGCTCCTGCGACTTGAAGCGCAAGGACACCTGCGCTCCCTCGTGCGCCCAGCGACAGGCTTGGGCCAAAGCGTCGTCCCCTGGGCGTGTTTCAGCTGTTTGAAGCGCCCGCGAAACCCGTCAGCGGAGCGAAACGGAGTCCGTCAGGACTTCAGGGCCAAAGACTTCAAAGACTTCATTGAATTTCGGACTTCAAGGGCCCATGATTTCAGATTTCAGGGGCCAATGTAGGCATATGTATACATGTTTCAGACATGGAGTTGTTTGGGAAGGACATGCGAAAGAACCCTTGGACATGGTGTGGAAATTTTGGACTCAGCAACAGGGCGGCCAGTTGCTCACTTTCCCCATAATCTGGTTCTCATCCAGGTCAAAGCCTAAATCCGAGCCATCCTATCTGGTTGGCTTGAGACCAAGACCAATGGGCGCAAGAGATTCTCCCATCCAGTCCCAGGTCTCAGGCTATTTAAGTAGTTCATGTGGTAGACATCAAACATCTCGCCCTAACCCGTTGTCAAACATCTCTTTAAGGACTTGTCACGATTATACATATAATATGTATCGAGACTTGTATCGAGTATGGGTATATTACCCAACCACTCCATGTATACCATATATGCCTACATTGGCGTGGTTTTGGGGGTCAATGTATAGGCATATATTGCATGATATTGCATGGAGTGTCTGGGTTATATAAATCGAGATGTTACATCACATACATGTATCCTCGGCGGCTTTTAGAAGTAAATTCCGGTAACTTGATGCGCCTTGGCCGAACGGTCCGACCAGCAACCAGCCCAGTAGTGCTTCCAGGCGCTGAGTCCCAAGGTGCTCAAGCAATTCACCTGTGAGGCCAGGGTCAGCTGCGACACTTTCTCCACGAAGTGAAACTTGTCCTGGTCACTTTCTCTGCACGGAGAGTGGAGAGCTTTTGGTTCCAAATATTTCCCGCAAATGGCGCGAGCCTTCGGGGGAGGTTGGCTGTCAAGTTAGGAAAGCAAGTTTCTGTTGTTTCTATTTCTTCAACATCCTCCAACTAGGGGATTGCCATTCTGCATGTTTTTCCACCTGGTTTGTTTCTGCGGCCCTCATTCCATGTGCTCATCATCTCATTTCTGTGTCGCAGCCATGTCCTGGTACTCGTGATGAACGGCAGATGGGACTTGGGCAGTCCTCCTGGGCGACAAGTCATGGCGCAAAAAAGGGGCCTCCGCTTCAGGATTTTAACCTCCATCTGCCAGCACCACCCATTTCGGGTGGTTATTAGATGGAAAAATGCATCTGGCCTGGGGGTCTAGTCCAACCACCCGACCTGGGTGGTGCTGGTACGCTTTTCTAGTAGACCTTCACTGTTCCAAGAGGAGGCTTCAAATGAAATCAACATATCAGTCTCTACGTATATGTAGGTCATTCCCTCATTGCTATAGAAGATCAGGTTGGGTATCTCGGTCTCTCCCAATATGAGTGAGTCACCTTTTTATCACCGTGGGTAATGATCTTTTGCCGACTCTTATCGGTACATGGAACACACAACCCTATACTCTCACCAAGCGTTTTTCCTCAAACGACACGGAAAGCCCATGGCTCCGAGCCAGGAAGCATATCTGCAGGTCCCCAGGTGGTCTTCTGAATTTTCCACATCAGCATGGGACTGCCATAATATTTGCCGGGTATGCCGGGGTGTTTTTTTGGGGGGTCAAAATGTATGCATCATATTCCAGTCCGGGGTGTCTGGGATTGCTTTGTTCATGTTTGTCCCAAACGGACGTGTTTCTTTTTCTTCCTCTTCGCCTCTATGTTAGGCCATGATCATACATGAACATTTCTACAAACACAGGAGGAAACACAAAACAAGAAACAACTTGTTCGGAGCGGAGGGTCGTTCCACCTGAGCGGAGGGGCGATGGGTCGTTAGACCTCTGCTGCCTTTCTTTGTCTAAGGAAAATCGTGGTCAATTCATGCGCTCTATGCTTATGCCATGTATACAAAGAAGGCCGCAAGGACAAGCTTTCTGCACCACACCATCTAGGTTCTGCTAGAGATTTAGATCGATGATCCAGCCATGCTCAGTTTTTACTCTGAATAGGCCACCCCACACTCTCAAGGTCGTAAGATCCAAGGCACTGGGAGTCCAAGATCAACTTCACTTCTTGAACCGCCTTCCTGAGTTCAGTTCGTGCAATGCACCACAGGGGGGGGGGACGGTGGAGTCTGGAGTTCTGCAAATGCCCCGAAAAGTGTGTGGGCTCGCTCCTAGCTGACTTACCATAGGGCCATGCTGCATGCTAGGGGGTTTTTGCCTCCAAAATGCCGTAGTACAGGCCGCCCAGCCACAACAACAACAACAACAACAACAACAACAACAGATATAACGGATTCTCCGTTGCAGCCACGTCGAGGTGCTTCAGCTTCGCCTCAAACTGCTGTGTCTGCAAGCACACCGCCATGGCTGCACGGTGCGTGAACTTTGAAACGAGGACGAAGGATGTGGCAAGGCCCAGCAAATTGGCCCAGCTACTTCAATTTGAAGGACGACATTCACTATCCTGGAGGGCTGGCCCGATCCAACTCGCACTGAAAGGCACTAACAAAAACATCGATTCGATGTGCGTAGCTTGGGCTTTTCAGAGGTGAAGCACCGACTTTTCGGGGGGTCGAGCCTTCGGGTCCTGCGTCCTGCGTCCGGCGGGCGGAGTGCCTTCGTGGTTCCGAGTACGTCGGCGGAGGCGCGCCGTTTTCCTGGAACATGCAGCTTCACCGTTTTCCATCTGTTCCATAGGGAAACATGGGGAAACCCATTCTCTCCCACAAAAAGGGTGAAATGACTGGATAGCTTGGGGGTTTTGTCTGGTTTTGAGTGTTCCTTGCCTCGTGGTCCACCCTGAGTGCGCATCACTCAAGAGCTCACAGTTGCACGTGTCCAAGCCACTTCGTGTGGATGGTGGAACAAGACATGACGGACCCGTCTTCACCGAAGCAAGTGGAGAGTGTGGCAGTAGATTCACTAGCCCAGACACGACCCATGGGACTGCCATATATATGCCCCCCAACGTAGGCCCTTCCAACCACCCCTGGCCGTTTCTCGGCAGTCCGGACTGGCAGTCCCGGTCGTGTCCGGGTAGATCAACATGAGCAAATAGATCGATAGATTGGCTGTGGATCATGGCACGGGGAGACCGCTTTGGAACCACCGAGTGGATGAACCAGAATAGACTCGGTCAACCTACCAGGGTCTGCTCGCGGGTGCCATAGCGCTTTCGATACGTGGACCTCTGAGGCGGACCCGAAGCTCCGCGCGTCCGCACCCGCAGCCTTGTGCCCAAAAGGACAACAACTTGTGAATCTACAATTCTTTGAGAGCATCTATCTGTGAGCATGGAAACACGAAGGGCCAGGCAGACTCGCATGCTTTTTGCAACTCGAAAGCTGCGAGCCAGCAGATCCACCGGCACATGTGCATCGCGACGCATAGCGACGCATAGGGAGGCACGTGCCTTGGCTGCCTCTGCTAGGTCTAGGCCCTTGGCGGGATGAAACAAAGATAACAAAGTGCCTCAGGGCTTATGGCTGGAAGGGTTTGGGCCAACTGTTCCATAGAATTAGAAAGAATCATTATCTGTTCTTTCTGCTACAGCGCAGCATGGCCATAAATGCCATATTTCATTGCAACATCTTGGTTCAACCCAAGGTCTTGCCCACCCACTGAAAAGGATGACTAAACAACAACACATGGAAGAACATCCACCTCCCCAAGTGGAACTCTACAAATCCTCGTTGTCAGAGTGCAACTCCAGTTGTTGGACACCCAACCCCCTGGCCCCGCGGCAGGCGGCACGGCCGCACGAGCTGGGCTGGCGCGCTCACAGGTCGCCGGCGAGTGCGCTGGAGTCCGACCACAGACCATCCGCCAAGTCCCAGTCCGACCACTTCCTCAGAGAGGTTTCACAGGGCACCAGATGAGCACGCTGTGAGCCGGGGCACTGTCACTAAGAGCCGGGGCATGCCGGGGCACTGTCTGAAGAGGTATTAGAGCACCAGATGAGCCACAGGGACAGCAGAGAAACTCTGGGCACGTCACTCATTGAGCGTCAAAGAGAAAGCCCGAGCGAAAGCAGTGAAAGCAAGTACATGGCAGTTTCTTTGTCTACTGCGACGCCCAACCACTGGAGGAGCATGCACTGGATGGTATTTTCGCATGACACCGGAGGAGCCTGTCATGGTGTCAACTTTTCAGTCCTCCACCTCGAATTGTCTGTCACCCTGCGGACCGTGCCCAGCTCGCCCGACGCATGTTCTCCAAAAATGTTCGCTTAAGCATGTTTCCACATGTGGGTGTGGCCAGAAACCCTGGTATGGATCGTGTGTGGGTTTGGGTGTGTGATCCAAGCCTTATGTTTCTGGCCGTAGCCATGTGTCTACAACAAGAACCCACCCAACGACCGGCACCGGCAGAGCGGCCGACAGAGCCTGCCCAACACGCACCCCCCAACAACGTCTGAACCGAGGCTCACCACTTCTTCCACTGGAAAACCTGCGAGTTGAGGTCAACCGACCTCGTCTTTCCCTCTTCCAAAAGGGTGCTGGTGAGATTTGCTGAGCCCAGTCCCAAGAGGCTATCAAAATTGTTTGACTGGGATTGGTGCCAGGTGGACTAGGTGGACTAGGTGGTCGACCGATTCGGATTGAGGGAACACAGTAGGGAACACATCTTAGCCTGGCTGCCACGACTGCGTATCTTCTTCAACACCAAGCTGCAACCGTTGCGGAAAACCATGTCACATGCACACCTCCAAGCACCTTCTTCCAGTGAACTAAATCCAAACTCATCCATCATCCTCCATCCAAAAACAATAGGCTCTATCTATCTATCCATCTATCTCTCTACCTCCCTCTCTATCATATATCCCTAAATTTTACATATACACGCTCACATAGGCTCCATCATCTCCATCCACTCCCCCCCTAAAAGCCTTCCCTGACGATCCGCCTCCCCCGGATCTCTCCGCCACGGTACCTGGGCCCTTGCGGATCACCTGTGGCACGGCTAAGCTCTGCCCGGCCGTGGCCCACACGATGATCGACAAGCGCAGCCCCGATCCGTCTTCCTGAGCCGAGGGACTGCAGACGGTCTGGACGGTCTGTTGAAGTGCCAAAAGCTCCAGTCGACTGGTCTGGTGGCGCCAAGAGATGAAAATACATCCGAGAGAGTCTTGTTGTGTCTTCCTTTATCATGTTGTTCATCTTTGGTCCGATGGTGTCCCTGCCTTTTGAGATCTAAACTATGGCATGTTCATGTCTATCCTTCAGAGGGTCACTCATCAACGAAAAAAATACCAACCTGAGAATGCCCTGAAAGATTGTTTTGCTTTGAGTGTGTCACAATCCCTGTAACAGTGGATGATCATGGTTAGTATAGGCCTTTCTAAAAAGATAGTGATACCTTTGAGATCAACGGTTACAGGTCATGGGACACACCCAACAAACCAGTGGTTCTCAGCGGGGTAACGACCATAACGTGACCTGACCAAACGTGACCCCAGGCACACTCCTTCCAGCTTCATGGAAAAGAGAAGAACGCATGGGGGGGGAGATCCAATTGGGGTTTGGGTCTATAGTTTCCTTCTTCCAGGGGTTCTTGGGAGGTCTCCATTTTTGAATACACCCGCATGAATCACATTGAACATCCCATGTTTGTAGAGTTCAAAGAATTACAGTGAAGCCACAAGAAATGCCACCTGGATCTTCGGCTTGGACCTCCAACAAAGTCTCAAACTCGGCTCCAAGCATAAACAGAAACAAGATTAAGTCATTTTTCATGAAATGGTTCTCATCAGTGTCTTTTAGAGTCTTTTCATCCTTTACTGCCCTTCCATCACTGCCAATGTGGCCAAGAGTCTCTTGAGGAGGGGATGGCATGTGTGAACTGGTTGTTGAAGCAGGTGTCGAAGGCAAACACATCGCCTCAACATCCCACTCATGCAACTCAAAACACTTGTGTACATATTGTGTGGCTCGGCATCCGAATCGATTTGCTAGCTAGTCTAAGAGGCTTTATGTAGCATCTCTATTGAATTCTATCTTTTCTCATGTTCGTCTCCCCGGAAAGTTCAGTCAGATACGTCAAGTCGCCACGGCCAGTTGCGTCCAGCCACTTCCGAGTCACCGCAGTTTCTTCACCAGTGGATCCGCAGCGAGAAGGAGGTTTAGGCGTCGGTCGACGGTTTGGTTGTCTTTGGAAACCATGGGGTGTGTAATGTTGTAAAAGTACAATATAATTTTGATGTTACGTGATAGATCAATAGTCGTCAATAGTAGATCAATATATAGTAGATCATCATTAGTGGGAGTCCAGCTACCGTCGATCGGTCGTCTGCACATCCAAGCTCTGCTGCGCTGCTCGCTGCAGATCGGGTCACCGTTCCTCTGCTCAACGCGGAACTCTTCACCACTCCACCTGCACATGTGTCCAGCGGCGGAGGCGTGGACGGGAGGATGCAGGTGTCCGACACACCGACCGGGAGTGGCTTCATTCCTCTGCGTTGGAGGGGCACCCCTAGGTATCTGACACAGCAACCTCACTACTTAAGGGATTCCTTAAAGAATAAGCATGGGATCAACATATACCAATCAATACAATACTATAATACACTATACCTGTACTACACATTGAGCAGCTAGTTCCCGCTGACAAATAGAACATCCTCAAGCCAAAGGCCTCATTGGACCAGGTCTTGAGTCTTGATATTTCTCATGAATTCTCACTTTCTTCCCCATCCCTACGGTACTACACCCCCATCCCTATCAACCCTGAAAAAAACATACAAAAACAACAACTCTCCAACCTCATCGCCACCAAGCCCCACTCCACGCATCTCCGAACCTCCTTCAAACCCATCTGTATACATACAAGTAATACCCTCCGAAGCTCCTCACCGCCACGGTGCCACCATCGGCCCCACTGGACCCCCCAGTCGAAACCTCGAAACTTCGGCTAACACTGGAGTCCCGATTCACTTCACGTCGCTTCTCACCTGTCTTTGAAGAGCATGTCGCGCGGGCTCCCTAAGCTGAGGCCCAAGGTCACCGAAGGCCGAGGTGCTCGGTCCTGCACGAGGCCCAAGCGGGGGGGGGCTCGCTTTGACCCGGCGAAAGAGGGAAGGTGTGAACCGGAGGCGTGGAGAAGAAACGCGAAAAGGGTGAGCCGGCAATTGTCCTATTTTAGAGCTTTTTTATACGAACTTTCCCCTTTACAAAGTATCCACAAGTTGCTTTACTGCGATGCAAGCAGGTTATGACACCCCCTTGTCTCTGCTGAGCCATGTGATGCCAAGCATGGCAACACCTCAAAGTGCCATCGACTTGAGCACCGGGATCAACGGTCCTTGTAGTTATCGTGGTGTGGCGACTTCTCTTCCAGACCATTCCTCAGTTGAGAGCTGGTCCAGTGCTGCTTGCTTTCTGAGTCGGGAAACTGCCCTAGGGATCCAGTCGTACCTTCTCAGAAGGTGATTGGAGACTATGTATGTAGGCTTGGAGGGCCGAAGTACCTTCTGAGAAGGTATGTGGATCCCTAGGGCTGAGAGTTGGCATCATTATTTTGCTCCCAGAGGCCCATGTGTCTCCCAGACGGTCCAGATCATCCCTCGAGCAAAACACGACTCCCAACGAGCATGTGGAGATTCTTGGAACAAAACGATCATGAGTCTCCACGAATTCAGTGACATCTCCCAACATCTCCCAACTAAGGTGATGATTCCCAAGAGGTTGTTAGTTGGAGGAAGCAAAGATCAGTGACGTGGAAGGTTCTCCCCATGTGACCTTCCTGGGCGGGCCACGACCCTCCACTTCACAGCGAGGCACCGATAGACGTTCACCCAACCTGAGTCGGAGCGAAGTGGAACCTTGGAGAGAAGAGAGAGAGAGAGAGTGGAGTTGGAGAAGTCTCTGACAAATGGACAGTGGTTTCAGAGTAGATGGCAAGGATGGGATCTTATATCAGAATCTATTAAGAGGTGGTTTAGATGGAGCCCCATCTAAAAAAACATCTTGGGGTGCCATCTACTAATATGCTCTGAAGCCACTGTACTACATTGCACACGGGATTTCAAAGGATTTCAGAATACTTTAAGGGGTCCAACCAGGATCAGGACTCCAACAAGTCATACATGACTTTGATATGCCATGATATCGCTATGAAATACATGTCTCACCTTTTCATACCTTCACCATTGCTTCACAGCTTCGTCCTTCCAGCGACCCGTGACCCTGCAAACACTATATCGAAACTCACTCACTCCCCTCCTCACCATCGGTTGAAGCCGCTTCGTCCGGGCAGCAGTCCACCATGGACATCCCAAAGAGCGACACCAGTCGTGCCACCACCGCCGTGAAGGTCTTGGAGCCCTTGAGGTGCTCCCCTCGGGTCGTTTCCGGTCGTTTCAGTGTGGTTTTCAACGAGGACGGTCGTTTCAGGCGGGAAGCAGTAAGGCGTGCGTGTTTGGGGGAGATGGTGATATAGGGTGATATGGTGTGATATCTCATTGATTACCCCTTTTATATGTATGGCAGGCTTCAAAGGGCCAGGTCTTCGGAAGAAGCCGGATGGAGAGGTGTATGACTCAGTGCTTTTGACTCTTCGTGGCTCCGACCCTCCCAGGGCTGGTGGTCAAATCCCTAAAGCCTAGAGTGGCCCACTCCATGACAACAAACTTGGTTCGAGTTGGCCCTTGGCTCAACAAGGAACATGGAAAAACATGGGACATCCCACCGCATGTTGGGAGATCATGTTGGGTTTTGTGAATTGAAGGAAGTTGGAAGTTAATACAAGAGTAAGTAGTAAGTAAACCAAAACTCTGTGTTCAAACTCCAACTGGTGTCATTCAACTTCCAAAACGAAGAGACACATTTCAAACAAAGAACAAAAACCGTTGGATTGGTCCCATTGGAACTAGGATTGCTGGGCAGTTTTTTGTTGAAACTATTCCCGGAAGGGCGACAAAATCATCCTGAGCGGATTGAGCATTGTTCACGTACTCCATCCTCCGGCAAATCAATTGATCAAGTCTTAGTGCGCCTCTTGACGGGCAAAGCCGCAGCAAGCGGATTTGATTTGGGCTACTGGGCTACTCATTCACCCGAAATGTCGAAGCAATGCAGCAGCCGCTGATAGTGCCAAGCTGCCCCAAATCTGCTGGTGGCGCTTACTGCGGTGCATCCTGGAATGGATCATGCTGCCAAAGCTGAGCAGCTCGATACGTTCAATGAAACATCAAGCCTAGGATTCATTTGTCTCCATAGCCGCCTGCCACCAAGTTGAATACGGTGCATACGCATAGAGTCCACCGGCTAATTTTGAGCTTCCTACAGTAAGCACCTCTGGCCTCGTACCAGAAAGGCACTCCGTTTGGAATGCAATTCTTCAAATGTGGGACCCATTGTCCATTTATTGCCACATGTTCGTCAGCGTGTACATCAAACTGGATGTCCTGAGGTGCTTTCCTTCATTCCTGGGAATGGCCGGTGTGACAGTGGTGCATGGAAGGTGACAGGATGCGAGAGGTTTTTGGACCTGACTTGCAACAGGAGGAACCACCATCCACCACCAAGACCGAACGACCTAGGATGCATTCTTCAGCAAGAAACAGATTGCAAGGAACCAAGATAAACCAAGCCTTTGCGGGAGTGACTAAGAAATGATCGAAAGCTTGACATGACTTGAACATTCTGTAGCAAATTAAATGTTGTCGCTTATAGTGTGTGGATTAATCCCCAAAAAGTTCCCGAGAACATTGTCATGTCATAGGAGTGATGTAGCACCACAGAAGAGCCAACCAAGATGTGCAGGATGCAAATCCAAAAGACAAATTAATATATCCCGTTCAAGAACAAAATAATGAAACACGTGAGATTGCAATGTCCATCTCGTTCCTCTGTTAGGCTGTAGGACAACAACCACAAGCGGTTGTCATGTGCTTTCATGTTCCACTCGAAAGCCCACAGCGAAACACTCAACATCCCAGGCGGCTGGATGTCAGCAAGCCTCGGCCAATGATTGGTTCAGCTTGCAAACGGAGGCATGAAAGAACCCTTTAGGCCCTGTATATATAAGCACTATACTGCACAGTCACAAACCAGCAACCAATGTCAACTGCGCTTTTCCAAAGGATTGTCATCCTCCAGCATAGCCTTTCGTGTGACAGCAAAAATTGGTGGGGGTAGTCCAAAACCACCTCTTCAAATCACTAAATCAAATCATTCGTCGGTCGCGCGGAAAAAATGACCATCCAACACAGGCAATCACACTTACTACTTATTCTCTGAGCAGCAGCAGGTGTGCCAGCTGGTGATCCTGCTTCGGCGAGCCCAGCGCGGGCACTTGCAGACAGTGGCCCAAGCGCACCAGGCGCTCGGGCAAGGGTTTCCTCCAGTGACGAGTTTTTCGAGGTCGCTCTTGGGTTTTCAAGGGTTTTCAGTTGGAAGTTGGTGTCGACCATGAAACACACACGTGCGATCATGATTTGATTGAAATTGCCATGGCATTCAGCAGCCAAGCAAAACCGCCATGTCAAGAAATAATCAGACAGACTTGAAACTATGCAAATGGAATGCTTTGCTCGCTTTGCTTTTCCGGTTGGTGGTTTGAACTCGCTTGAAAAATATTACAGTAGTCAGTGTAGGGTCAGTCAGTAGGATGAATCATCTCAAGTAAAGGTTAAACATGGTTAACCATTCATAAACAGCATAAAAGAAAAACACACATCTAAAACTATCTGAAACCATCACCCGGTGGTTCATTCTCACAACCATGGTCCCTTGCTTCCACTGCCCGTTCTTTGTGTTTCACAACGACCCAGCCGTTTTTGGGTCGACGAGTGGTCGTTGGAGCAGACGTTTCACGACCGGAGTGGTTCCGATCTGCTTTTACCTTAATTCTCTGGAGGCTGGGGCTATGAGAGGGCCTTTCAAGGTTGGGTGGACAAGCAACCCTTCCGTGCGGCACTGCTCGCCGGGGATCCGTTGCGGAAACCACGGGCTCTTCAAGGCATTGTCCAAAGGCGACTCCAAGGACACGTCCGTGTTCACGCGTGCGCGTTCTGGCGCCGCGGCGAGCCGCAGCTGGGTGGGCGCCCAGGGGTGGAGGGAGACAAATTGACAGAGTGCTTCAATGTATTTCACATCTGTTGAGACTTCAATAACCTTGGTGTATTGGACATGTATGGGGACTTGATGAGGCATGAAGAGGTCATGGTGAGCAGCGAGGCTTGCAGATCTGGATCAGCGAATTCCCCAATTCCAATGGTAATCCGTGGTATATTCACCAGATGGTACAATTGCCGTACATGATTGAAGGTCATTGAACAATCATGCAAAATTGACTCTAACTCAATAGTTATGTGTTATTCCGTCCCCCCCAAACACAAAGCAGCAACAATTCGTCAATGTTACCACATCATCTACATGTCTCACATTATTTTGTTCAGAATTGGAAGTCTTCTCTATCTCCAATCTCTGCGCCCCCTGCTTGCTCGCCTCTAACTCTCATCTGAACGGCTGGTGACCTGCCAGAAGTAACCCTTGGCGACGCCTTTGATCAAGTCGATCACTGCTTGCCGATGCACTCCGATCTAGTCGACTGGCCGTAGTAACCCTAAACCCTCTCAGATTCCTTATAGAACATAAAGGTTCACCCTTGGTCCACCTGTTGAGTCTTGAAACCCATGTGAAATTCAATGAATTCCCAAGAAGGGGTTGGGCAGGTTATCGAACGACATGTATACACTCTACGAACTACTCTTCGACCACATCCATTCCGATCCAGCTTGTGGCTTTGCGCCGGCGAAGCATCAGCAATGCAACCCGCTAAGCCACAGCCCCTGCATTCGATGGATCAAATCCAGGTCGGCCCACACAAAAACCCACTGGTCAGGACCCTGGATTCCGAGCTGACCACCTGTCGACCAGACTTCCGGTCTGAGTCAAAACACCCTATAACAGAGGAACAAAGGGATTTACAGGGAGGTCCATCTGCCATGGTCCATCGTCGCTTGAATCGTTTGGACCCAAAGTCATGTTTGATCTCAAGTTCAAGGTCTCCCAGTCGCCTCGAGAACGCTTGCCGCCATAGGAACCCACTGTGGGTCATGCCTTGGCTTGCACGACAAGACGTGCACAACAAAAGAGACCTCAGCGGACCCTAGCGATCCTTATTGGAGTATGTCTGTGGGATAAGCTAAAGGGATGTTGGACCACTGGAGAACGTGAGAGAGCTAGTCTTGTTGCCTCAACATCCATGAGCCTTTGACAATGAAATGTTGGATTGTATATGTGATCATCTTCCAAATGCCTGATTCACTTTCCCTCAGGTCTCCACGTGCCTCATCAGAAGGTATTTGGACCCTCCTGGCACCCACCCCCCAAAAAACCTTAGAAGGTACTTGGAACCGTAGGGTTGGTTACCTCTTATCCTTCCCACCATCCTTCTGCCACCTTCCTTGCCGCCAGCCAGCCGCTTTTCGACATCAACACTGCGGTGAGCACCGCTGCTGTCCAGGTCCGCGGAGGCTGTGGAGCACGGCACATGGGGCCCCGCGCCGGCCGAACCGCGGCAGAGGAACAAGGGTCTGGAGATAAAGCTGGGGGCTGTGGAGGGAGATGGAGAAGGGGCTGGCTGAGGGTTTGAACGGAGATTTGACAGTCTGATGGTTGCGATCTTTCTCTTGGCAGGCGTGGCCTTGGGTGTTGTTGTGTTACGGAAGAAGTGAATGGAAAAAACATCTATATATTAGTTGCAGCAAGGAATGCGGGTCGAATGTGTCATGGTGCTTTCCTACACTGCTGGTGTAAGAAAGAGTGGGCTGGACAAACATATGCAATGACTCAAACCATACACACTGGCACAAGTGAGTGCCAAAAGGGATTGTTAGTAAGATCCGGTAGGGAAGCAGCTGAGTCAAGCGTGCACGTTGGCGGATACATCTCGAAATCATGCTAGGTTTAACATATTGATTTTCCATCTTGTTTGGATGCCATGCATCTGATCTATATACTCTGGGCCAAGCAAGTCGGCACCAGGCTCCTGCACCGAACCGCAAAGTCACATACCAACCCTGCCATTGGTCTAGCGGGCCCCTCCGGCTGGACATTTCCCTTCAACAGCACCATCAGTGAGCTCCCACTTCACCGGAATCCCCGCTGGCGATCATTTTTCATGCCACGTGCAGGTGTGAGGGTGAAGCATGGATGATGTAAACGACAATCTCTAGACCCGCACCTTGTAAGCAACTCATGCGGCAGTGGGTTGCAGCACACGCAAACCTTGGCCTCCAAATATCAACATGCACAATGTGTTCTTCCTGACGGGGCCAATTTTCATCCAGGCTGTTATAGTTTCACCACTAGATTCATCTTTTTACTAAAACCACAAAAATTCCCTGAGGATGACCTTTCTGGTGTAGCAAAACGCCGAACACCCCTAGTTTTTGGAGAGCTGGGTTTTGGCGTTCCATTGCCGGCATCTCAACACCCACAGCTCACTCAGCTCTTCAAACACACAACTGGTATTTACAGTGTTGCCTTGCCCCGATGGCAATACAGAACGTGCCAATACTATGGTATTTGGCAGAACCACAGCATCAACAGCATCCACCCCATGTGTTTTTGATGTGTTTTCCGTCATCGCGGGGCGTCGACCTCGAGAGTGACTAGGAACATGTAGGGGGGAACAACTAAAGGGGCCAATTGGGCAAAGGCTACACTCCTTCTCAGTTGAAATTAGTGGATCATCTTTCACATGATTTGCAAGTTAACTTTAACGCGACTGCTAATTACCACTTGGGCGCGCCATCACACACGTCCGCACGACCTTTTCGATGCGCTCCACCACGCCCTCTTGATGCTCTCCACGCCGACAGACCCATTTTCATAGCTGTGCTCTGGAGTCTCTGAGTTTCAAAGCTCCTTGATTCAATGCCCGGTCTGCGCGGAGATTTCACGTCAAGGGTGAGATCTAAAGCAAGAGCTGAGAAGGAGAGGAACCCTCCACCCACGACAAACCTACTTGAGACATTCAGGAAACATCTTTTGCACCATCCCTAAAACTAACTAGATTTAGGGAGTGTGCACAAGAATAAGATGGACCCTGAGAAAGCCCCCCTGAAAGATTGTTTTTCTTACAGGCCGGTGGCTTTCGGGTTTTCAGATGGGTATACCTGAAACCTCTGGCGGGTACAAATTTCAGCTCTTTCGGCAACCTGCAGTTCTTTCAATCGTTTCACAGGAAATATTCCCGTTTCAATTGAAACCGTCCGTTTCAGAGTGCGCGGGCTCACACTGCGCACGCCTATTTTCAATCCTGGACGTGTAGCGTTGGATCAAGCGGTTGAGGAACGGCTGCAAAACTTCGGGCACACACACCTCCAACGCAGTTTTGCTTTGATCAAGTAAAGCTCCAACAAACGGTAGGTTGCACTCCTTGAGTCAACAGTTGTTACAAGCCTGCAAGTTCGACCTATATGTGGTCTTCTCCAATCTCACCGGGCAAGCATAGCGGGGGAAATGATGTATTCCGTTGTGAGATCAGGCAACATGACCTCCAGATACCTCCAGCGAGAGGAATGAATCTCCGGCACCAAAGCCCAAGCCGCAAAGGAACAGCTCTGTAGATTGTGGTAAGCCAAGAGAGCTCGGGGGAGAGAGAAGCAGCCGATGATCAAGCAGGTGCTTGTAGAACTGAAGGCCGTGGGTGCCGCATTCCTGCATGGCAAGCAAAAGCTCGCGGCACTGACCAGACTCATCAGCAGCATAAAAGAGCAACCATCAACGTCCGTTGGTCAAGCCATGCGCGGGCCAATTAACACGTGTCCTGCCACTTTGCAGTGGACACGTCCTCATATGGCAGGCCGTCGTCACCGGATTCATATACATAGCACATTTTGAGTGACCGTTTGCGGCCTCGTGCCAAAGTGTCTTGTAAGCATGGCAGCGGCAATGTGCCACTTTTGGCCGCCTTTGCTGCCAACAAGGGCAAAGGTGTAGCAATGGCCATTCACGGAAATTCTTCGAAGAATGGCCGTCTCAAAGACATAGCAAGTCGTCCAAGCAGCCAACGAAGCAAGTCTGTATTCTTCTGGCAAAGCTGAATCCACAGAAGGAAGCGACTTAAGAATGTAGCCACCAACTCCATCACCCGGATGTTCGTCAGGATGGCCTTGATCCCTGGCTCCCTGGCCCCGATCCTCACCACTTCATCAGCCTCAAGAATTGCAGCCAATGTAGCCATGCTGAGGCGAAGGAGAACTGAGCTGATGATCGACTGAGCTGGTGTGAGTTGATGTTCGAGGAAGGTTTGTACGAATCAGTCCTATGGTTCAAACTCGAACATCACAAGCTCAAAAGAGGTTTCGGCTTCGGCCACAGAGCCGGCGACAAAGCAAGCCTCACTCAGCCAAGAGGAAGGGCCAGTGAGCTCATGGCGGGAGAGAGCACCTCAGGTCACCAAAGAGGAGACAAAGCCTGGAGTTAAAGAGTTCGGGTGCGCACGGGACGTTCCACTCCATGATCGTCCCATGACAGCCGGCGGTCTTGAGAAGACAAATGCTGCCAACCCCAAAAGTTTCATATCAAAACTGTCGTTCCAATGGGAAATATGTTCATGCTATTTCATGCTCCTATACGAAGACTCAGGTGACCACTCCTTAAGTTAGGCGCCGGACAAAGCTTCGCAACGATGGATTCCTATACCGACTTCCTGCGGCCCTACCAGCAGTCGAAAGGTGTTTTTCAGCTCCAGGAGCATCGGTAAAAACATCCTAGAACATTGTTCAAAGTCTGACTGCGTGTTTTGTCAGCTTTGATTTCTTGAATATTTTACCCAGGGCTCGAGATTGCCGACGTTAGGTCGGAAGGGATCGCGGCCCCAGACCCTGAATAAGGGTCGATTCGTTTACTGCCGCCATAGCTTTTGGCAGCCCTGCCTGGCACAGACGTGCTAGAGCGAAGAGGGCAAAGCTACGTGCCTTGATCTGGAAGGTGAAAGCCAAGCCTAGGATCTCTACTGCACTCCGGGCACGGACTTTACGTGCTTTACTGTGCCTTCAGCAACACCATACGCGACCTGTCTACTCGGTACCTTCGATTGCCAGGCAGATGTCATGGAAGAACGAAGTATACTGGTACGACTGGGGGAAGCAACAGAAGAAGGGCAATCGGAAGAAAGAAGACGCCAGAGATGGCAAGGCCAAAGGGAAGAATGTCTTCCTGGTCGGCTACGACGGAAAGATGGTGGAGGTCGACGACCAGCCTGGATCTTCCTGGCAATCCTCGCAATCTACCTCGCAAGAGGCACAAATGCAGACAGAGAATCGAAGGCTGAAAGAGGCTATGCGATTCATGCTGGACAAAGTGGCCCCTACGGATGCAGAGAAAGCCGAGATTCCAGAGGAGGTCAAAGAGCTTGTGAAGATCGACCCAAGAGAGAGCATCCGACTCCGACAGAAGGAGTTGAACGAGGAACGCAAGAAGATAAACAAGCTCGACAAAGCCAAGGACACGATGGACAAAAAGTCCAAGAATTTTCAATCTTGGAAAGAAACCGTCGAGTCAGGCATTCGCAAGGAGGAGAAACGACACTCAAGCGAGCTGGCCGAGATCAGTGCAGAGATCAAGTCTCTGGAAAGACAGAGAGATGGGGTAGATCCCATTCAAGTCGATTCAGAGGGCGAAGAAGAGGGCGACGAATCGCAACTGCAGGTGAAGAATCAACGGTTGCAGAAAGAACTGGCCGAGTTGAGGTCAGATATGCAAAATGTTATGGCTTACACCATGCAGCAAGACCAGAAGAATGCCCAGATGATGGAACAGCTACAGTCGCAGCTGATGAGCTTGGTAAGTGTGGTACAAGGCTCGGTTTTGACGCCTCCTCCGGCCAATTCGCCAAACCAAGAAGTGAAAGGCCGAAAGAAGACCCTGGGGACGATACTCCAGGAAGAGCAGGCCGAAGGGAGAGCTTTGACCAAGGTCAAGCAAGAGGAAAGCCGCGAGCGATCGCGAACACCAGATATAGACCGCAGAGCGGCCAAGCAACCAAAGATTGCACAAGAGTTCGAGTCACAACAGCTCAAGACCGAGCTGGCTCGATATCCGGAAGAATGTCAGATGGCTGTCCTTCAGACTATTCACCAAGATCCAGAAGCTTATGTGACATGGGAGGCGGTATCAAATTTGATCGTTGCCACCCATACTCAGATGCTCAATGCTTGTGTAGAAGCGGAATTGAACAAGGACATGGTAGACATGGAGGGGCAGCAGCGACTGACAGAGCACTTGCCGATTCAAGCGCATCCAGTGCTTCGACCATTTGGCAAGTCCCAGATGAAGACCAAGAAGGTGGGCGATGGACCTTATACCCCACCAGGATTGCGCCACCAGTCGATAGTGGCCACCCCAGATGGTGGAAAAATGTCGACTATGGAGAGAATGTCATGAGTTCCCAACTGCAGGACAGAGGGTGCGCCATTTTTCAAGGCAGCAGATCTTTCCCTGTAGGTATGCAGCATCTGAACGCTGAATGTCTGAGCGGTGTCTTGGATGGAGTCAGTAAAGATGTGCCTCTTTTGCTGGACGAGACACTTTTTG